ACACACTCACACACACACACACACACACACACACACACACACACACAAATCTGTGTTCTCCTAGAAATTTCTCTGAAGCAATTTCTGTATATATCTGTCTGCTCTGATTCCATCCATCTTTACCCGCTTCTTCCTTTTTGGGTCACTGGTGCCCATGTCCAACTATCACTGTGTGAAAGGTGGGGGACAACCTGGACAAGTCTCGAGTCCATCGCAGGGACACATGGAGACTAACGAGACAAACAACTATTCACTCTCTCACTCTAACCTAGGAACAGTTTAGAGTTACCATCAGTCTAACATGCATGTTTTTAGTCTGTGGGAGAAAACCAGAGTACCTGGAGAAAACTCACACAGCACGGAGAGAACATTGATGAGCGGTTGTGGCTGAGTAGTTAGAGCAGTCATCCTCCAATGCAAGAGTTGTGGGTTAGAATCCACCAGCAGTCAAATGCTGAATAGAATAGAAATAGAATAAAAAACAGCCTTTATTGTCCCACAGATGAGAAATTCAAGTGTAACAACAGCAACAGATGAAAAGATAAAAAGATTCACACAAATGTTCCTAAATGTTAATAGACAATATATAAAGAAATAAGATCAACAATATCAATAATAATGTTCAATATGTGTTGGAACATTGATAAGGACAGACTATTGACAGCACAGTGTTACAGGCAGAGTGTGTGTTTCAGCAGAGGTCAGCATGTATTTAATCCTTATTGAGTTTGTTGGGAGTACTGGTGGTTGTAGAGTCTAACAGCTGCTGGAGGAAGGACCTGCTGGAGGAAGGACCTGCGGCAACGCTCCTTTGTGCATTTAGGAGCAGGAACCTGTCACTGAACGAGCTCTCCAGTTCAGCAACAGTTTCATGCATGGGGTGGGAGTCGTTGTCCCCTGAAGTGTCTTACTGTTTATGTATGGGGCCAACAAAAACATACTAGCTACTAACATTCAAGGGAAATTTGTTAAAAGAGAAAGTAATTATTATCTTAAGGGGATGGAGATGTTTGTGAAGCCGTGGTGTCGCACCAGTCTGAAGATGTGATCCACTAGATCTCAGGGTATTAGATTGTGGAATGATCTGGAGGTTGAAATTAAAAAAGCCAAAACTATGTACATATTCAAGAAGATGATAAAAATTTGTTTTTTTTTTAAATATTAAGTATAATGTGAGTTCATAAAAATTGTTTACAGTTGATCTTATATTTTAGCTAAGTTTTTTTAAATTATTTTTTACTTTTTTATTTTTTTATAAATTCATCTTGCTTTTGTATAGTAATTTTGTTTGGAATATATTTTGGGGACAAGGGGCAGATATTATAAGAACTCATTCTTCTTCTGCTGCCTTTCATTTTATTTCGGTGATTGTATATCTTTTTTCTTTTCTTTAAATTGTATTATATTTGTTGTTTGGATGAAATGAAATGAATAAATAAAACATACATACAAGTGTCCCTGGGTCCTTGAATGTTGGGAGTTGTAGGCATGTAGCTAAACCTACATTTTCTACCGGAAACGGAATCAGATCATGTTTTTAACACAATATCATTCTAAATATCAAAACGGGATACATATATCTAGACATTTCATTAAGTTAATATATTATCTGATAAAATTATATTTCAGAACGTAGATCGACCGGTAATACAGCTCAGCTCTCTCTTCACCACAACACCTCTTCCTTCTTGCTCTCGGCAAAGGCGGATGCTTTTTCCTCCCACTCCTTCCCCTACTTCTGTTCTTTGTCCTGTGAACCTTTTTGGAGCCTCTCTTTGCATATCTTCTGAATTGTAAATTATGGATTTTGTCAACTGGTAACGCAATTGATCAAATTTTCTTGAGGAGAAGACGGGGCGAAGGACAGCCCTCCTGCGCTGATGGAACACTTGCAGCTGGATACACAATGAATTCCTGGGGGCAGTGGAAGATTGTGTGTCTGTCCATATTGTCGGTCGAGGATGTAGAAGACACGTTCATAATTGGATTTATGATAACAGGATTTCTTCTTTTCGGAGTTGGTGGTTACCTGGCATATCGACAACTTCGAAAAACATCGGCAGCTGTTCTGGCCATTGTGAAGCTGCCTGGCCTTTGTGAGGGAAAGTGCCATGCTGTGAACATCAGACTCAAATGCTGCAATCAACAGTCAGATGGTCAGATCATTCACCCACCTAACATAAACTCATTGCAACTCTGACAGCCCTGTCTCCACCCCCCACCCCCAGACCTTTTGTTCTGCATAAATAGAAAGAATGATTTACATTATCACACACACATACACATATGAAAACTCAGAAATCGGTTTCTCAGATCACACCATTGGTTGGTTCTCTAACTATCTCTCAGACCGGAGGCAATGTGTTCAACATAATGGTACTTCCTCCAGTTATTTAAAAGTCAACAATGGTGTACCACAAGGCTCAGTCTTAGGACCCACCCTCTTTACAATCTACATATGTAATGTAGGTGAAAACATCCCTGATGCATCCTTACATTTCTATGCTGATGACACAGTTGTTTATTGTCGAACTAAAACAGTTGATAAGGCTTTCCAGCTTTTGAAATCTGCATTCATCATCCAGACAGATTTGTTCCAACTCAAACTTGTCCTAAATGCTGATGAAACCAAAGGGATGCTTTATTCAAATAGGAAGTTGGTCCCAGCAGTTCTTTCTCTTATCTCATCCTCAAATCAGAGTCAGAGTCTGAGATTCTTTATTGTCATTCGCAACTCATGTGGTACATGTGGTGGAGCGAAATTATGTCCACAGGGTCCCAGTTACATCCAACAATAAAATGTATAAGAAAAACAGTAATAACATCAAAGATATGAACTAAGAAAAACATCAACTAAATATACACTAAGCACTCATAACATAAAACATTGAACATCAGCACAAACATGAACATGAGTCTGTGAACACGCATGAACACATCAACATTGAAACAGATCAGCAGCAACATGAAATAGATCAGCAGCAACATGAAACAGATCAGCAGCAACATGAAACAGATCAGCAGCAACATGATGTGATTTTTCACAGTGATTATTCTGGTTAGAGATTCATGAGTCTAACAGCCTCAGGGTAGAAGCTGTTCCTCAGTCTAGTGGTTCTACACTTAATGCTCCTCAACCTCCTTCCGGAGGGGAGTGGGGCAAAAAGTGTGTGTGCTGGGTGAGTGAGGTCCTTCATGATGCAGGTGGCACTCTTCCTGCATCTGGAGGTGTAGATGTCTGTGATGGTGGGGAGGCTGATTCCTTGACAGTCTTCAAATGGTGTCCCCATTGAGTTTGTTGATTCCTATAAATATTTGTGTATCTTGGTCGACTCACATCTCTCTTTTAAGCTCCATGTGGAAAACTTGGTAAAGAAACTGAAAGTTAAACTGGGTTTCTTTTTCAGAAACAGATCCTGTCTAACTGAATGTTAGGAAACACCTTGTATCTGTGACTTTCCTTCCCTCCATTGATCACGGTGACATCATCTACATGAACGCTCCTACAAGAACCCTGCAGATGTTGGATGCTGCAGATGTTGGATGCTGCAGATGTTGGATGCTGCAGATGTTGGATGCTG